TAGTTTTTTTCCACATGATTTTGGTGGTATATTAGGGCAAATAGCTTTATATAAAACATTTAATTACTCACTTGTTTTAATAATTAATTCATTAAACGAACAATGCTCGATCGCGGATGCGATGAAAATTGCAACCCCCAACAAAAAAGTTACCAGCAGTTTGCTAAACAATTCAGTGATCTGATTGGTCAATATTAGGGTAGTCGCCACTACGCCAAATTCAGAAATTGGGGTTGTCGCGGAAGCTGTCACAACGCCGATTTAGCCAGTAAGGTTTGTGAGCATGCGCAGATGTCTGTTACGCTCTATTAGTTCGTAGTAGACTGGCCGCGTAGTCAAAACGAAAAATGCCTATTGTTTTTCTCTCAGAGAGACCGCCCTCCCTTGCAAGCACCACAAAACGGCTGTACATTCTTCGCTACCAACTAGACTCGTGCAGACGCATTTATTAGCCGCAAAGCTTACCATTCCAGGCCGTGATTGGTTAATAAACACAATGTGGAATATACAGGCGATTAGCAATCTGATCAATGATGAACACGCTTTCTTAGTGGCAAGATATGCTAGAAAAACATACAATTTCACATATTTCCCAACAATATTTTCGCAAAAACTCTTCATACTTTAAATTCCCCAAGCCTTCTCTTCCATATTACTGCAAGATCACCTTAATCGTATCACAAACGAAGGAAGAGATAGAAAAACAAATGACTTCAAAATTCGCTTAAAATCATCATAATAGCCCTCTCTCTCTCAGAAAATGGGCTAATAATCTTAAGGTCTTTATCTGTCAGAACTGAAATGTGAAAAAGTAAAATACACACGCAAATATATGCATGTAACTTAATATTGCTATGTATTCAGTTAAAAAATAAAAGAAATATTGTTACTAAACATAGTCATATACACAGTCAAATTTAACCATACTAATGTTACATTAAACATAATTACCACATAATAAATGGTGATTGATTTCAAAGTTTAAAACTTACCAGTGCATTGTCGGCCAGCAATAATGCAAACAATGAAAAATGTTATCCTACGATCCATTGCTAGTTAGTGTGAGCTGTAAGAAATAATTATTAGTAATTCGCTCAGCTTTTTAAAATATACGCTGGTAACGGTGATAGTGAACCTAGAGAGAGCCTACAGTATTTCTACCAGGAAATAAAGCATTGGTAAACATTTACTAACTATAACATTTTTAACTACAAAGTAGACTCAGGGTAGATTAAACAACAACAAAAAAAACATTTAACATGTGTATGCTCCAATGATAAAACTGACTGGATAATAGGAATAACAACTAGAAGGCACTCTGAGAGTGTGTACCTCCGCCCACACAATTCTCCTCAGTATAAAATTCCCACACATATTTCCCCATGAAAAAAAAGAAAGCAACATGTAGACAACATGGGAATTTGAACCCGGGCAGGTAGTGCAAAATTTGAAGGGTCAGGGTCAAAAGTCAAGGTCACATTCGAAGAAAAAATACGGTAATATATAATTTATATAGGCCTAACAGCATACAGTGTACGGTTGTCATCAGAAATTGGTCAATCTCGGCGAAAATATTCCGTGACCAGAAATCAGATTTATTTTTTAAGGGTCAGGGTCAAAAGTGGAGGACACAACTAACGAAAA